AGGTGGATAAACAATAACGATGATGATTATGATAATGATGTGTTCGTAGTTTGTTTGTCTTTGCGAAAAATAGGGTTTCTGTTGCTTTACGATGAAAGAAAAAATATTGAACAGCTCGAATGATTGTTATAATTCTCAAGCAATTTTTTTTTTCTTCATTTATTTGAATGCCATTTAACATATCATTTCATTTTAGTAACTAAAAATAAATATAATGCAGTTCTAGTTCATCAAATTAGGTTTGAACCGTAATTATTACTTTGTTTTTTCGTTGTAACGTAGGTACTGTTTAAAAAACGGAGGAGGTTTGCATTTTAACTGCAGATAATAATAGAAAATAAACTTTTATTAAACTAATTTCTAATTCCACATAGCTATCATAATTTTTTCTTGATATTTATTTATTTAATTTAACTTTACAGTATACAGACTCGATACAATAAATCAGTAAATAGAAAGTTAAATAACACATTGGTTTTTAATCATATCACATTAAATGATACTAAATAGGTTAAAAAGTAGTAATCTGATGCGTATTCAATCAGTCTTCGGGCTGAACATTTTATGATGAAGATGAAACAATGGATATTAACGTTGAAAAGTTGGTGTAACCGTTGTGTCTGACATTGCCCATAGCAATGTGATGAATTTTTGACTTCTTGTCTTTCTTGTCGAATGTTTTGTTGGTTCGATGGCTGACTGACTTTGACTCTCTTGGCCAAAAACCGTTGTGTTGATGGATTCTTTCATTTCAATTGTCTCACTTTTGGACTAAAATTTTCATAAGTGAATTTACGTCGGCCTTCAATCTTCAGGTCTGTTTTTGGCATTTTATTTAATTTATCATCAAATGCCCACCAAAGGGCATTGTTTTAATAGATTTAGTATCATTTGATGTATGATACGATTAAACCAATAAGTTATTCATCTTTGAAATACTATCTTTCACCCTCTGTATTTTTTTAAATTTATGTTTCAATGAAAACTTCACATATTTATCAGTACTGGCAAATTTTATTATCTCTGGTGATATCGTTTCGACCAAAAGATCATCATACAGTAACGTAACTCTAGTCCAAACGATCTAAAAATCAACGAAAGTGTATTTCTTTCACTATTATTATGAAGAATGTTGCACACACCATGCACAATCTAAATAATTGGTTACTTTCTAAAAGGCTGCTTTTGTATTGTATTTTATTTACTAAAATGAAATACTTAGAAACTGATGCAGCTTTATTATATTTTCTTTGTCAGTATCTTGTCTCCGTAGAAATAGAATTGATGCCATTTCATTTTCTGTGGGATATAAGTACAAGTTGCTAGTTTGCGAAGATATTCCTAACAGTTTTCTTTTAATTAATCTATACATATATTTGTTGTTTTATTGGTCGTGAAGTGTATTACATTGACAAGGAGCCTCTCGTATAANTAAATTGGTCGGTGTGCTATCAAACGTTACATTGATGATATATATATATACATTAGTAAATCTGATAAATATTTAGGAACGAATAAACCGATTTTTGTAAACAGCCCTTCTACAATAATTATCTGCGAACGTGCATCATTATTTAGTAGGGTAAGAACTTTATTTTCATAAGAATTGAGTCGATCGAACTCTTGACTAGTTTGTCTCAAAGAAATATTACGAAAAAGTGTAATTTTTTATCACGAATAAATTATATAAAAAGGTGAAATCTTAATACGTTTTTTTATTGGATTGTGTATAAAAGATAGAATTGAAAATGCTTATTCTACTATGTTCCAAATTTTCGTGAACAAAATTTGCAAAAACTTTTTCAAAAAGCAAAATTCTACTTTAAAAATATGGACAACATTATTTGAAATATTGGAGCATTTCTAGAATTTCAATTGTAAAATGATAACATCTTTTGAAACACGCATAGTTATTTTTCTAGTGTTGTAATTTTGAAAAGAATGTGGTAGGAGGATCGTTTTAAATCGTTACGAAATGTCTGTAGGATGTGTTAAAAAAGATATAAGTAGCTGGAAAAAGAGAAAAATAATTTGGTAATCTTGATCTAATGATATGTGTGGCTATTTATAGTAATGTTAAAGATTGCACATTGGCCTGTTCTTGAATTTAATATGTGAAAGTTCTTAAAAAAGCACTTGGTAAAAAGTATTTATTCTTATACATATATCAATTGATGTCAAAGTACCTGCTTGAAATGTAATAAGGATGATTTTATTCGTCTCTATTTATTTGATGAATAGGGTATAACTATTGGTCTTAAAACATGGATAAATTTTCGTAATTACTTTTATTATAGAGTAAATTAAAAATAAAATCTTAAATTGCTATAATATTAACTTCAAATAATGCTTGAATAGTGATACAATTTTGGATTGGTCTGGAATGAAAAATTACAAGTTGTGACATGTCGAGGCTAAAACTAACGAAAGATATCAATTCCAAATCCTTAATTTATTAAGAAGGATCTGTGATCATTCTAATTTTGAAGGGGCGCTTGAAATATGTTACTGTAAATTTACTAAATATTTTTTTCTATGTAGTTGGTCGTGTCCATATTAAGTACCTACATGATTTTTTTTTTATTGTAATACTAATAATGAATAGTATTAATTACGGTATGTTCGTAGTTGTACGCTAAAAATTATTGAAAAAAGATGTGGGGAATTTACAAGTGTATTTATTTTTTATATATATAACGTTCGTACAATTATTTACTTGTAAAATTATCGATGGCTTGTACCTCCTACGTTTCGTTATAAAAATAACGACAATTTGATACCTTTACGAACAAGTTATAATGAACGTCATTTTGTAGATAGGTATAAAAGCGTCTCATTAATTTCATTGTAATTTTTGTACATAAGCAATAAAGGATTATTGATAAAATATAGTTATTTACTGCTCAATGTATATTTATACATTTTGTTAACTGGAAAACTCATAAAAAAAGTTTGATACGTAAATGCAATTTATAAATAAAAATAAATTAACTAGTGTGAAAGAGATGCGAAAAACTTTATTATTATTTCCATGCTGATTTTCTGGATCTTTTGGCGATCGCGTTACAACTTTTAACCCTTCACTGGGTGACAAGTGGTGCTCATCGAAGATACCCTCTCCCCTTATCACAAACATTTGGGAGTGTAGGTGGATAAACACTCAGGTCATCTCACCATGGACCGCTTTTTGTTATATATTTATTACACTATTGTATGTAGAACATTTATACAAGAAGCTGATAAATAATGTTATTTTTCTTTCTTTATTTTTATAGATAAGTAGGTATATATTTATATTTGCAGATAAATACAGTGATTCATATATAACAAATGAACATTGATTAAGTACAGTAGGGTAACGAATAACAATAAAGAAAAGTGTAAGATAAAAAATCTAATTAATAAACTTTTACGAATGTTTCTTTATCGACAATTTTGTACCTGTCTTCTCGGAAGGTCATAAGGTCAGTATGTAATCTCTTAACGCTTTCGTCCCTTAATTTAACTATTACGGGATCGATAGGAATAAGATTTGCCATCGTTGCTAGGTCATTGTAATAGGAACGTTGTCCTGGTCCCATCATATGGGCCTGACGTTTATTGTACCCCTTTTCCCATCTTAATTGCATGTCTTTTTCAGTGTCTTCACGCATTTCTTCTTCTGATGGTAACTTTAGGTCCCCATCAAGATACTTAACGTAGAAACGAGCCTAAAGAAATAGGTTTTGATTTATATTAAGTCAGGAATATTTATACCTTATGTAGCTTAGACGTCGTTCGATCTAGTTGAACGCACCCCAAAATTCTTTTTAATTTTTGTTTCAATTTGAGTACGTCTACTATAGTTAATAATTTAATAGTCATAAATGTTACTTTTATTATAGTGTATATAAGTACCTCTTAAAATTAACGTATTTTATTTTTCTAATTAACTGCAGTAGTAATCTGTAAATGAATTGCCTAATAGTTCGGTCGTTCACCGCTAAGTAACACAATTTTTTAAAAATGCTCTAAATTGCAACATCCTTGCCCGTGAATGATTGGGTCAAGGACCAGAGTCGACCAGTTGAGCGGTGTAACATGCGGGATGCGGTTCGTTCGTGTGCGGTTCGCGAGGTGTTTAAATTTCTTTATCAAATTTTACCTTTTTATGGGTACTATATAAGTAAATTGGTCGGTGTGCTATCAAACGTTACATTGATGTGACAAGACACCTGTGGAGCATACATAGATACGTCCATTTTTTATGTAAGTGTTCTAGCGTAACAGGTGGTGCCATATTGCTTGTTTAAGTATCTCATAACTTTTTCTTTTTGCTTTTATTTAATGTAAAGTTTAATGTAAGACCTCATATTGTAATGTAAACAGTTCAATCGAATCATAATAAGTACTTTAAATAGCATGATAATCAATAGCAGTTTTTTAATTACATTATTGCATTGTATTGTACCTACCTGTATTAAATAAGCCGCCATATTTAATTTTTATATGACGTTATATCATCGTTTGCCATTATCAATTAAAATATTATTTATTAATAACAATTTGTCTAGGGCATTTGAACATTTATAGGCTAGTATCCAGTTAATAAAAAGATTTAATTTAACACAAACCGGAAACGTACTTTTATAATTATGAAGTGCAATATACATTTGTACGAGATGTGTTTTTATGAAACCACAGAGGTAATATGAAGAACGGTGTGTACTATTTACTGATTTTTTATTAAATTAGATTTTCCTCTTTTAACCCATTTTGTATTTTGTGACGGTGATTACCTGTTTCATTATTATTAATGATAAGATTCGTAAAAGTACGGTATTTTATTTTAGAATTAGATTTAAAACCGAAGTGTTGTACATTTTTAGATGGTGTGTTTAAATATTTTTGTATTATTAGCGGAGGTTTCCAATAAGTTGCATAAGGCACAACCGGTAGATGAATAAAATTGCAATGTAGCTGTTAATCTTCGTTGGGAAGTAGCCCACAGTTTAAATTTTAAAAAAAAAATCTGAAAATACATTTAAGATTATAATAAAGCATCTTACCTGTAAATCGAACATTTGAAAAGCGCACACATTAAAAGGTATTCCAATAAAGCACATGGTTGGTTTCATCATATGAATCATGTGTTTGTAAAGTGGTTGAATGTGGTTGTCATCTACAGTTATCCCGCAGGATTTGTTAAGAAAGGGAAAACTGTATTCATACCCTGCAATATAAATACAAATATTATACCTTATTATTATGCCCATGTCCATAGACCATATGGTTCTATTTTAGCCACTTTTTGACCCTCTAAGCCCATATACCTCTAAATGGTTTACCCATTATTTTATCCTTGAACCCCCCCCCTCTCCTAGAAGAACGTGATCTTTTTAACAGTTTTGAAATGAAATTTTCATAGAAATTTTATTT